GCGCAGAACTTTTAGTATAAATTAATTTTGAACTTAAGAGTTTGCCATTCTCAGCTACAAGTCAGAGGATTTGTCATGCTAGTTTACCCAATTTTACAATCTCCTTCAAATATGATCGGATTGTTGTGGCGTTTGACTTATGCCCATGCAGCAGTTGTCTTGGCTCACACTCCCCATTTGAGCATAAGTCCTCCACAGGGAATGACGCAGTTGATGACAACTGAATCATCATTCCAACGCCTTGTGGCTTCATGCCTTCAACCATGGCAATTTTTGAGGTGGTCGATCATAACCAAAGTGCATCAATTTCATCTGCTTGGTAGACATCAGAGGTAAGTAAAGTTACTTCTAGGCGGCCGGCCTTGCCTACTCTTTGCCCACCACCGGATTCTCCGTCTTCTTCGGCAGCAGCACCGCCTGGATGTTGGGTAGCACACCACCCTGCGCGATGGTCACACCGCCCAACAGCTTCTTCAACTGTTCGTCGTTGCGGATGGCCAACTGCAATATTATTAGTTTTGGTTCATTTTTAAAACCTTAATTAATTAGCACATTAGCATGCCACCATGTCTTAGTTTTTATCATTCATTCATCAATATGAATATTTTATTTAAGTGTGGTGGTACACGTGCGTGCACTAGTGGAAAAATATATCCTAAAACAACTTTTGTACATATCTACATGTGTTTGCATTCGCATGCGTATTTATGCAAGGCTAAAAAATTCTATCACTTAAACATGCAGGGAATATGTGTAAGATGGGTGAGAATGTGACTACATAATACGTGTTTGAGTCGATGGATGTAGAGTGTTGATTGGCTGATGCAATGGTGGCATCTACGTGCAGATGGGATGGTTAGAGAGCAGGCTGTTGCCACATCGTCTTCGCTCCAAACTCGGACCAATAAAAGCATGCCTGATGCAGTTTTGGTCATTGTGATTGGCTGGCGCCTGTGCCATTGGTGTTGATGCGAAGTTTGTCAGTGATGGTGAGGGGAGGAATAGGGTTAAATGGATGTGGAGATGGTGGTGTCGGCAACTTGTGTTGCATTTTACTGACGGGAAGTAAGAGTTGCTGTTGTTATGGCTTCTAAAGTAGTGTCAGGCAAGGCTGCGAAGAAGGCGTCGAAGGTGAAGGTGCCGAAGACGGACAAGGCGAAGAAGAGGAGGAGGAAGGAGAGCTACGCCGCCTTCATGTACAAGGTGTTGCGCCAAGTGCACTCAGACACGGGCATCTCCTCGAAAGCGATGTCGATCATGAACTCCTTCGTGAACGACATCTTTGAGCGAATTGCGGCCCAGTCGAGCCGGTTGGCGCATTACAATAAGAAGTCGACCATCACGAGCAGAGAGATTCAGACTGCTGTGCGTCTGCTGCTGTCGGGTGAGTTGGCGAAGTAGGCAGTGTAGATGAGATGGGGACGAGATGAGAGGGGAGGAGAGTGGAGTGCTGCAGTGTCACGGTCGCTGCCGTTGCTGCTTTCTTGTACTGCGTTCCACTTTACTCCGCCCCACTCAACATTGTCCACCAGTGAGTGAACGCATCCCACAGCCCTGTTGAGGGCCGCCATCGACACACTCATTCTTGGTTGTTGTGGCTGAGACCTGCACTTTTACCACTCTCCATCTCTCTGCCTTGTTTTCTGTCCTTTCAGCCTCGTTGTCGCGCTACTTGCCAGGCGCCAGGATTGGTGTTGGTGGTAATCCAAGTGTAGGAGTCTAAGGAAGGTGACGGAACGGAATGTGATAATGTGTATGGGGATGGTTATGGCGATTGCGATGAGAAGGGAGGAGGGTGAGCTTTGTGCTGGTTTGAGTGATTTCAGTGCCTTCGGTGCTCTCACTTGATGGCGTAAGGGAAGAGGTGAGACGTCGTTGTTGTTGTTTCATGCCACTAGGTTGGTGGCGTGCGAATGTGTGACCAGCCAGGCGTCGGATGGCAGGCTTCGTGATGCCCTAAATGTCACGCAATACCTTCCTGTGACGCTTGGCTCTTCCCTTTTCGAGCCCTAATTCACCCTTACCACGACCCGACATTGTCTAACTCGACCCGTCAAAAGCCTAAGTCACAAAAAACGGGAGACAAGGCAGAAACTGCGCTCCGTCAATGAAGAGGGCGTGCCTACACCGATGCTATTTGTACATCTGTGTACCGATGCTGCCCTTGTATCAGCCAACCAACACGTCACTTTAGTTAATTTCAACAATTCATTTTTCGTCTTAGTCTCATCGTTTTGACGTACACTAATTTTACCACTTTTTTCAATTAAGGTAGGCCATTATTTTCTAATATTGTTCTTGTTAAAAATCAGCGCATACATGCGCACTAAAACATATATCTATACAATGTAACATAAATAACATATATGGAAATAAATGGTAGCGCGAAAAAATAATTAAGCAGATGACAGTAGTTACATTAGTAACAAAAGAAATAAAAAGGTATTGCAGAAATTAATGGTTCACAATTAAGGAAATTAGATGAATAGATAAGGCTATTTACCTGCCCCACTTATTCTTAATGTGATTAGCTCCTATTTTCACCTCATATCCTACTGTGCAATGGCAATGATGATGTTGATGTGGTTGGATATGCATTGGCCAAAGACATGGAGGAAAGTTGGCTAGGCTTTGTGGTAAGTCATTCGATAGGCATTTCGGCTATTTCCAAAGAGCAACATTACGAGTTACAATATCTGCCTAAATATTTCTTAGTGTGTTATTTGCGCGGAGAAAGTTTATCAAGAGACAGGAGCACAATTAGAGAATAGCCTCCTCTATGTGGTGTCCTAAGAGCACCTTAGTATGTGCAATAGAGGCCGTTCGGTCACTGATTTTGAAGAGAATAATGTAACTGGCCGAAGTTACTCGGTAGGCGATTCAGTCGCAGGAACGGTATGAAGATAACCACTAAGATGGCGCATTATAAATCAGGCTTGAATGGGGGTGCTTCACTTGGTAGGAATATGAAGGTCTTTAAGAATCTACTAAATGATTACAGACTCCTGGCGTTGTTAAGGGCATTACTAAAGTAGAGTTACTCATACAATGTAGGGTTGAACAGGATATTAGTGAAAATTGTAAAGTGCTGCTTCATTCCTCCTTTCAGTCATCATTTGCAGGTTAAATGGAGAGATCAGACATAATTTTTTTAGTTTCAGTGAAGTAGGAAAATTTCTCGTTCAATTCGATGCTCTCTATCGCCATTTCACAAGCCAGAAAGGAGATCTCCATACTATTCATGACAAAGTAAACGTCCTTTCTTAAGTGAGTGTTCCTGTAATTAGTGTAGAAATCATTGCAGGAGTTTTGGCGATGCTTTAAGAAAAGCTCACAGATTAAGGAGTCGGATGAGGTATAGTACGTCCAACTCATCACTCGCTTACTCGCTTGCAAGTACCGTGTTTAATGACAATATCCATGATGACTTAAGCTGGTTGAATCGACTTCAACCTGTGCCTGCAATAAATTAGCTGCAACTCCATTAGGACATGAGCCGTGGCAATGAGAATGAGCGCATTAGCTCTTACTGATTTCTTCTGTCATTGTTGTCTTACCGATTGGAGAGCCATCGTCATTATTTATAAGTCCTTTCACATGAAAATGAATAAATGCTACAAGAAGGAGGAGGTGGGGTAGCCAAAATTAAAAGAGAATCAAGCCAGTAGAGTGGATCATATAGACAGCACAGTTTTTGCTTTTCATCATTAGTCGATTTTATTTTATATCAGATTTTGCATTTAAGTCACGTCGAGCATCACAACTTCCTCACCAACGGCATGAAACGTTGGGGATTGGGTGTGCTTGGGATCGTTCCGCGCCGGCTTATGTCCTAAAGCAAACTAGTTGTATACTACAATAGACTAGACTACACAAGAAAAGTATATTAATGAGCGCATTTTGGTCTGATTCAGCTTGTTCTACATTTCAGGACTGAAATTTGACATATGTTTTATGTTATCTGACACTTCGGTTTGTTGTATACCACCCTACAATAGATTTACTTACTCCTACACCAACTCCTCCTTTATTTATCCTTTTGAAACCGAAGGTAGGTGTGTCGATAAATTAAGTCACACGAATGTATGATTACAGGTTGACATTGGCCTTAGTCCTCGAGTGGTTATCAACGCCCTTAAACCACCCGTCTGCTTGATGAGCCAATCAGTAGAGTGAAAGCGAGACTCCTTGGAATGCCTACGGACTAATATTTGAGTAAAAACTCCTTTAATATTAGAAGTGAAGCCCAGAAAGGTTTCCAAATCAAAGGCGAAAGTGCTTTAAAATCAAAACCGCATATCGCAGAGTACAAGACGATTTATGTCCTGCTGGAGGTGAAAAACCTACTCATTAGTGCCACGTCATCGTGTTGATATGAGCTTGTTAACTGCGAAAACTGGTAAGAACAGTGATTCGCGAATGGCATCAAAACGTGTGCCATATTGCAGTCTGCAATCTACGCGCCTTCTATTGCAGAGCAATCTTCCGATGGTAAGATGTCTGATATGAACTTTGTGACGCATTCACTTACACTCGCCT